GAGATTTTAAATTTAATTCTCAAACAGACAGAAGATCACATCGTTACATCACTGACAGAATTCTGTTACATCACAGAGAGACAGAGATACAGAGAGAGAGAGAGAGAGAGAGAGACCGGGAGATAGATAGAGAGAAAGAGAGAGAGAGAGAGAGAGAGAGAAACACAGAGAAAGAAAGACAAAGAAAGACAGAGAGAGAGACAGACAGAGAGAGATATAGATAGAGAGAGAGAGAGAGAGAAACACAGAGAAAGAAAGACAGAGAGAGAGATATAGATAGAGAGATAGATAGTTAGATATAGATAGAGACAGATATATATATATATATATATATATATATATTAGAGAGAGAGAGAGAGAGAGAGAGAGAGAGAGAGAGAGAGAGAGAGACCGAGATAGATAGAGAGAGAGAGACAGAGAGAGATAGATAGATAGATAGATAGATAGATAGATAGAGAGAGAGAGAGAGAGAGAGAGAGAGAGAGAGAGACCGGGAGATAGATAGAGAGAGAGAGACAGAGAGAAACACAGAGAAAGAAAGACAGAGAAAGACAGAGAGAGAGACAGACAGAGAGAGATATAGATAGAGAGATAGATAGTTATATATAGATAGAGAGACAGAGAGATAGATAGAGAGAGAGATAGATATATATAGAGAGACAGAGATAGATAGAGAGAGAGAGACAGAGAGAGACAGAGAGAGAGACAGAGAGAGATAGATAGATAGATAGAGAGAGACACAGAGAGAGAGATATAGATAGAGAGAGACTTTTGACTTTTTACAACCTTTTACTTAACAAAATGTCTCATAAAAGTGAAATGTGAGTCAATAAATAAATAAATAGAGAGAGAGAGAGATTTAGAGAGAGAGATTTAGAGAGAGGACTGCGGCACTCAGAAGCATAGCTTCAGGACAAGAGGTGACAATAAGCCTCAATTTATGTCACGGATCAGTCGTGACACGCCACTCGTTCTGCCAAAGGCTGTTCTTGACAAACCCGAGCTCTGAAAGGCTGCGTGCGCCAAAGTGACTGAGAGAGTTCAGTCTGTGACTTACAGCGTCATTGATTCTCAAGATCAAGCGAAAGAAAAGAGGAGCTTTACAGAAAATGAGACGTAGATTGAAGGATGTCGAGCAAAAGAGAGAGAGAGAGCGATAGAAGGGCTGGGGAAAAAAACCCGCAGCGCTCAGCTTCGCAAGAGAGAGAGAGAGAGAGAGAGAGAGAGAGAGAGAGACGCCTCAATTTACACCTCATATCGGGCGTGACTCGTCACTCAGGCACTTGTCACAGTGACTGAAAGAGTTCAATCTGATACTTACTGTGACACTGATTCCTGTATTCAACCGTCAGCAAATATACTCGAGCCTGAAAACAGAAACAGACTGAAGAAAGCTGAGAGAGAGAGAGAGAGAGAGAGAGAGAGAGGGGCCGACCACTCAGAGGGTCACTGGTGGCGTAGAGGGGACTTCAAAGCGTCGCTCCATAGCGGGTTTGAAGGGGAATTTTAAATCAAAAATTTATTAATATTTCACTTACGCATTGACGCATCTCACCACTGCAGGCGTTTCCGTGTCTTTCTCTGAATCGGTGATGATACAAATTCAGGGGTTTTTTTTATTTCATTTATTTTAATTCCCCAGACGTCATGTTGCTGAATCTTCTCTTTACCACTGATCATATTTTATTTCTGTCTGTTCTTCATAATTACTCTATTTTCTATTCAAATTTAAAGTTTTTTTTTTTTTTGGTTTTTTTTTTTTTGCCTTTGTTTATTTATTAATTTTCATATGATTCATTTACATGTGATTCATTTACATATGATTCATTTTCATGTGATTCATATTCATGCATGTGATTCATTTTCATGCCTGTGATTCATTTTCATGCAAGTGATTCATTTTCAAGTGATTCATTTGTTGTTTTTTATCATTTGTTATAACCTGAAGTAAGAAAAAGGACGAGGAAAATGAATATGTGCGGATAAAAGGTGTTTTTTGTTGTTGTTGTTGTTGTTTTTTAAAGCTATGATCTCAGCTATGTGGGTTACGCAGTGTTTCTAGAATTAAAGCAATGCCACTAGAGATCAAAGGTTTTAACCTTCTGCTTCTTGCCTGCATAAATCGCTGCAGCAGCGTCGTACACGGCAGTCAGTGCTCTACACCGCACGCTGTCCTACAGTCGTCTTTTCATTTTCTTTTTCCCCCAGAGTTTGTCTCGGGCCTCATAAGACGAACGTTTAAATCGATACTCAATAGCTACACACAAATATTAAATAAAAACCCTCTCCTTAATCCCGCCTACGATGTGACACATAAACACGACGGTTAGCCTGACGTGTCGTTTATGTGCGCGCTTATTTTTTTTTACGTTTTACTTGACTTGTTTTTCCTTCACAATATGTAATCCTGTTATTGTAGCTTACAGCAGGTGAGCACATCAGCCAATCACAGTAAAGAAATAAATAATCCCATGAGATGACAGTTTAACTTAATCTACTATCCATCCATCCATCCATCCATCTTCTATACCACTTATCCTTTTCAGGGTCACAGGGAACATCGCTCGTCACAGGGGTTTCGTTGGTTCTGACCAGAAGCATCATGTCCGGTCATTAAGCCCTCGCTGGAGGAGCAGGATTCTCACGCTGTCGTTCCAGCAAGCTCGTGACGGTGAAACTTTACGCGCATAACCAGTTGCGTTGGAGTAATTCCTGAAAATAAACCGTCAGCGACGTTCATTATTAACCCAGAACGACTTATTGACCAGCAGCATAGAGCATCTTAATTAATAACGCCTCAGCAGCGCTGCCGCTTAACAGCTTGTAGGAGGCAGTAGTGGATTTCTGAACGAGAGAAGGCCCCCGAGTCAGACAAGACACATGGACTCTTCGGTACAACACCACTTAAGATTGTAAGATTTGTGTGGGTTAGCTGGCAGGAAGCAGGAAAGCAGAACGAGAGAGAGAGAGAGAGAGAGAGAGAGAGAGAGATAGATAGATAGATAGATAGATAGATAGATAGATAGATAGATAGATAGATAGATAGATAGATAGATAGATAGATAGATAGATAGATAGATAGATAGATAGATATGTCTATAGCAAATCTGAACCTGACACATGGTTCTGGTTCATAGCCCTCTGTAGCCGTAGAACAAAAATCTAAAAATGTTTTGTTTTGGTTCATGACTCAGGCTTCATAATGCAATCTGTTGCAGTTTCGTCTGTTATTTCCCTCGTTACTTCTCGACCATATGATGTTTCTCCATTTCACGGTCTGTTAGGAGAATGCGTTTGTTTCGCACAAGTTACCTCATGTGTGTCTTTCTCTTCCCGTTCGAAAGCCTCCCAGAAAAACACAGACGAGCAGTACGAGTGTAATGTCTGATGATGTGCATTAATGCTCATCATCATGTGTCACACACACAGACAGCTTTGTTCTTGATTTACATTTTTTTTTTTTATGGCCGACTGGGTTCATACCACATTTTGTCCGAATACCAAACACGATAAACGCAATCGTTGTTTTTTTTTCCCCCCGTTCAAGCCGCGGTTCTATTGCGTGTGCTCTTGTGTCATTTGTACTTTAATTCAACGATGTGTGCTTAGCGTCCCTACTTCTAGTTTCTCCTTAAACATAGTTTTGTCAAACAGTAAATAATCCATCCTGTGTACGATTCGCATTTCATTATCAGCCCAAATGATAAACGGGCGGCTGTGGCGCAGTTGGTAGAGCGGGTTGTCCACTAATCGTAGGGATGGCGGTTCGACTCCCTGCCCGGGTGACTCCACATGCCGAAGTGTCCTTGGGCAAGACACTGAACCCCAAGTTGCTCCCGATGGCAAGTTACCGCCTTGCATAGCAGCTCTGCTACCATTGGTGTGTGAATGGGTGAACGAGACACAGTGTAAAGCGCTTTGGATAAAAGCGCTATATAAGTGCACATTTACCATTTACCAAATGATGTGTAATGACCTGACATTTAGAGCTTCAGGCTGCGTGAATACAGTATACCGGTCTGGGCTAGAAAGAAATCATTCCAGACCATTCGGTGTGTGTGCCCCAGGACCGTTGATTGTCGTCGTTGTCGTCGTCGCCGTTGTAAATCCATTTGTTAAGACCCAATCATCTGACCAACGTTCCCATTCCGGATCGCGTCTTATTTACACAAGCTATTGTTCCTGCTTATCCTAATACGGTTCGAATTCCTGTCGACAGATCTCATTTCACTCGACTCACAGCAGTAGATCATCATTCAGAACCTGAAGAGTCTCTGTCTTTATCTCTCTCCATCTCAGGTAACCGGCAGGTAGAAATCTATTTTCATTAAACTTGCATCACCAGCCTTGAAAGCTCCCGCGCTCCAGTCGATGCAGCCCGGAGCCGTCCGCTTCCACCACGTCTGAGTCACTCGGTGTTTATATGCCGTGATGCTGGTTTCGACCTCGAGGGTTTAATCTCTCAGGACTGCGGTCATACTGGTGTAGGTGAAACAGCACGACGGTACGCAGTGAGGATGTAGCACTCGTTATTTCTCACCGTTTTAGAAATCTTCATGGAGAGATTCTGCTTTGCGGGTATTTTGTAGTAACTTTAATACGACACTATATCGATGTAGTGAACACCGACACATTGTTACTCTCATCAGCATTCACGTGGAAACACACTTAAACATACTTTAACAGTGGCACGGCAGTACCACAGGCGGTTGTATCTCAGTGGTGGGCTGTGGTAGCTCAGTGAAAGCGCGGTGGTAGCTCAGTGGTGGGCGGTGGTATCTCAGTGATGGGTGGTGTTGGCTCAGTGGTGGGCGGTGGTAGCTCAGTGATGGGTGGTGTTGGCTCAGTGGTGGGCGGTGGTAGCTCAGTGAAAGCGCAGTGGTGGCTCAGTGATGGGCCGTGGTAGCTCAGTGGTGGGCGGTGGTATCTCAGTGGTGGATGGTGGTATCTCAGTGGTGGGCGGTGGTATCTCAGTGGTGGACGGTGGTATCGCAGTGGTGGGCGGTGGTAGCGCAGTGGTTAAGGTGTTGGTCTACTGCTCAGAAGGACATGAGTTCAAACCTCAGCACCACCAAGCTACCACCATTGAGCAAGCCCCTTAAAGCTCAATTGCTCAGATGTATGAATGAGATAAATGTAAGTCGCTCTGGATAAGCGTGTCTGCCAAATACCGTACATGTAACGTAACATAAATCCATTTCACGATCTTCCTGCAAAGGTCTTGCGTAAGGATCCGATTTAATGAACAAACAGTCTACCCAAAGACGTCTAAAACCTCGCCAGTGAGATTTCCTTTCCCAGTGAACATCACGATTTGACCAGGTTGTTTGATATCTACTTGCTGTAGTGGAAAAAGGACACAAGTCTGACTCTTTAAATACAGCTCTTTTCTTCCTTTTCACCACGTTCTAAAATGCTTAGATGGTGACATGTGAAAGTTCAACTCGTAGTTCTCAGCACTGTACTGTTGAGTACGCCGTAGAATAATGTCAGAACCCGACCAGGTCTTCTCAGGTCACCGCCCGCTGTGAACGTCCTCGAAGGTGCTTTATTTCTGACAGATTTGCAGACGTGTCAGAAAGGAGCGAGAGATTCCCTCACGTCATGCCTGGACGATACCGCGCACCTTCCTCGACATCAATAGCCGAACCGTTAATGCGAATAGGATATTCGATACGCCCGAGAGAATCAGCCAACGATGCAATAAATTCGTCTGACGTCGCCGAGTATTTCAGACGCTGCAAATCTATTACGACACGTAGAGCAGATGGCTGAGGCGTACGATTAACTGCGTGTGTGAGTGTGTAAGTTCATGCAACAATGCCTGCTCTAATTCCTTCATTCTGCCCACACTGTGTGAGATCCATGTGCTTCTCCGTGCACTATTTCCAATGTTCCAGATTGAAAAAAACAAACAAAACAAAAAAGATGCTTTCCCCCGCCCCCCTTTCCAAATTCTTAGAGACCATCGCAAGAGCAGGAGGCACCTAAATTTAGCCACGCATAACACGGCGTACATCCTCCCCCATAACCCCCCCCTTCCAAAAAAAAAAAAAAAGAAGCGCATGTGATTTATTCTCACGCTCTGCATTACTGAAACTGTACAGCGAATGCACCAGCGAAGGGCCGTATCCAAGGCAACGCACACCAAAAAAAAAAAAAATCCAGAAACACAACAGGCCTTAAAGCAGGATACTCTGATTAGCATGTGAAGAATGTGGAGCTCGAGATTCACACCTCTGCTAAAATGGTGAGGTGGGAGACAAACTGTGCCGCTTTAACTGCCCTCGAGATCACACCTGGCGCTTTGTCCACCCCTTTACCTGAGCGCCGTTTAACCCCGGACCGCGGGGACTAACAGAACGCATCCTGACTCCAGGATGTGTTGAGTTTCTCTACGGTACTCTTAAATAAAGAGATTCTAGAAGATCTGGAATGGATCTACCGTATAATTTTGAGATAAAAGTCAAACTCTTTTGGAACCCTTTTGGTGGTGTGGAGTGACTGATACCTCCCTGAGACTGCCCCTAAAAACCTAAGCTTTTCTCCACTACCCCATGATCACTAATCATGGGATTAGTACTAATCTTGGAGGCAGTATGGTTGGGATCAGTGCGTTGTAATGCTGCAGGAACGTCTTTCGAACCATATATATATCCAGTCTTTTCGAATATATATATATATCCAGGAACATGGCTGACGTCGTGCTTTGGTGTGATTCGCAGGAACCAGGAGAGAAACTAGCTCAGGTTTCACCACCACCACCATCTGTTGATTAACCCGAAGCACACTGTAGCTTTAGCGTCTGTACATCTGTAAATCACAGATGTAAATAGTGATTCTCTTTCTGTCCTGCTTGCATTTAAACACACACACACACACACACACGCACGCACACGCGCGCGCAAAGAAGTGCCTGGTTGAGTGATTTAGCATAGTGGATGGAGCGTGGGCGTTCCCCTTTATTACCGAAGCAGCTTCACACCTTTCTCACTTAATGCTCTTCACATCCCACCTCGCTGCCCTTCGACCCCGTCCACTTGGTGACTCATGCCTCTCTATCTATTTCTGACTCTCTCTTTCTATTTCTCTCTCTTTTGCTCTCTCGCTCTCTTTCTCCTCACATTCACCCACTCTAAGGCTGCTCCCTTCCCCGTCTCTCTTCTTATTTACTTTATGCTTCTCTCTGTCTCATTTCCGTCCTAGGAAATGACACAATAACACTGATTAATCACAACACGGCTCCAGAGCAGAAAGCCCAGAGAGTGTCATGTTTGCTCTAACAAGCCTTCTCTCTCTCTCTCTCTCTCTCTCTTCACACACACACACACACACACACACACACACACCGGGAGCGCAGATGCTTAATGTGTTGGGGTTTCTTAGAGCAGAGGAACTGCTATGGCTCTTATTAACCTTGTGCACCAGAGGGCAGGAGCGCTATCGAAAAGAGCTGGTGCTGTTAAACATACACAAGCAGGAATTCATGCTCATTCACTCTGACCCGGTTTTAACAGTTTTCCACATCCAGCGCACCTGATTCCAGCCCTCAGCTGCACTGTAAGGACAATTTTCCTGAAAATAAAACCTTCTTTTGCTAAACACAGTGATACGTTTCATAATCTTACAATCTAAAACCTTTGATCTGATGAACCATTATTGTTTTACCTCACTCTTTACATGCAGTAGTATGTGACGATTTCATGCTGTACACAGGGAGCATTGCCACCTCACAGCTCCAGGGTCCCGGGTTCGATCCTGAGCCGATAAGCAGAGTTTCGCTTGCTCTCCCCATGTCTGTGTGGGTTTCCTCAGGCTTCTCTGGTTTCCTTCCGCCCTTACGAGGGAGGAGGACTGGTATTTCATCCACCGTGTATTCCTACCCCGTGCCGAGCGTTCCCGGGATAGATCCGCATCGATCCGCCAAGATCGTAAACTAAGATTAGATCAAACTTCATTAAAGCGCACCTATTATGTTTTTTTTCAAATATTACCTTTCACGTAGCATGTTATATACGGGTCCAGGGTTCGAGTCCCACTGTGTGTGTGGAGTGTGCATGTTCTCTTCGTGCTGCGGGGGTTTCCTCCGGGTTCTCCGGTTTCCTCCCCAGTCCAAAGACATGCATGGTAGCCTGATTGGCGTGTCTAAAGTGTCCGTAGTGTATGAATGGGTGTGTGAGTGTGTGTGTGATTGTGCCCTGCGACGGACTGGCACCCTGTCCAGGGTGTACCCCGCCTTGTGACTGATGCTTCCTGGGATAGACTCCAGGTTCCCCGTTACCCTGAAAAGGAGTAAGCGATAGAAGATGGATGGACGGATGGATAAATGACTACGATCCTTTCTTCTCTGAGTAACAAATGTCTCTTTCTGAGGATGAGACAAAATCTAAAAACGTCCATGTGAGAAACAGAGAGGAACTGAAACCCAAAGTGAGAATGAACGTAATATCTTCGGACTAGAAGCCAGTGTGAGGTGCACTCCAAAATATCAATCGTAACGGCACAGTGAAATTGTGATAACGTTTGCAAGTCTGAGCTGTCATTGCTGAGTGAAATATTATGATGGATTACTGGTTGCGAAAGCCTACGGTTCTCACCTGCTTTCTTCAAGATTCACATCCCTACTCTTTTCTAATTCAACATGTAGAACAACTTCAGCGCAAAAGTCACGAAATTATACCTCAGACCCGTTTAATAAATGAGAATGTTGTCAGAGTCGTCAGAGTCGACTTATTTCACTTTGACTTCGTCCCTGTTTGAAGTTATGATGTTCGTTGATGGTTAGATAAGACCCAAGCATCAAAAAAGAAAACCTTTATCCGGACGGAAATTTCTGAACTCTTGTCAAAAGTCTAATTAATTAGCGCCGCTTAAGCTTTGATATCTGAAGGTTAAAAGGATGGTGGCTTTTGAAGGGGACTGGCGAGACGAGCGAACGCTTTGGCTTGCTTCCTTTCTGCTGGCACCGCAGTGGCACCATGGGCCAAGGATATATTTCAAGTCTTGTGAAAATTTACGACTTTGGCCGCCTCGGCGCGGGCTAATGTGTTTGGAAGCTACGTCCAATCTAATTACAGCAGCTCCCGGATCTTGTACGCCATCCATAAACTGAGCACTTTACAGATCCGGCCTGGTTTACTTCGGGAAGTAAATGAGAGCGTCAGAAGATTTTTTTTGTGTGTGTGTGTGTGTGTGTGTGTGTGTGTTTTCTGGAATGAAATTCGAACTAGGTAATAAAAATAAAACAAACCTGCCATATCAGAGGATATTTAGTGAAATAATGGCCGTGATAAACATGATGAGTTTATATTTTGTTCCCTGTTTCAGTCTTATAAACTACGAGAGATGGAAAAACACAGGGGCCGGTGACGGAGCGGCTGTTTATAGTCGAAGGATGCTCGTGACAAATTGTGATTTAACCCTGAAAAAAAAGTTTCCCGTGTGGAGACGTTTATAAACCGGTTAAGGAAGGAGTCTCCAGTGTCGGCGCTTTGTAACGGTCAATAGTATAGCTGTAACGTTAGGTTTTATGACATGTTCACACCCACTACACCCAGTACTGAAACTCTACAGGACCGTGGTTTCAACTCAGTGTTCCCGCGCTGTACGATTCCTTTTCGGTTAAAGCCTTCATCACACAAGCACGAGCACGCGCCTCTAGGTTCGGATCTGAGGAGCGCTCACTTCTACTGGCAGGTCCAATAGAGATAATTTATCACCACCCATAGGGCACTGCAGTTCGGCCCAATAATTACCAACGGGAAGATTGATTCCTCTTTAACACCGATTGAAGTCGGTGTTTATCACACAGCTGGAGCCATTGATTTGTACGTAAGTAACTGCTGCTGTGCTTTTTGTCTAATCGTGTCTGCAGGCTAGCTGAATCTATTCAGAAGATATTAATGACTTGAAAGAATTTCCAGCTCTGACAGTCGGTCCAGTTTTATTCTGGATTAAATTACACCGCCTGCAATCCATTTCCTTCCGCGTAGAAAGCTGTTTCGGTAAATAAAAACGTTATGGCTGTGGGGTAAAATGTTATTATAAAGCAGACGGCTTCGGCTCGGAAATCTT